GGGGGGGGGGGGGGGGGGGGGGGGGGGGGGGGGGGGGGGGGGGGGGGGGGGGGGGGGGGGGGGGGGCACCGTGTCTCATTCAGCAGGGGAAGTCGTCGGTTAGTCGACAAAGACCAGGCAGCAGCGCCAAAGGAACACTTTTCATGGTGTGATTTGTTGACATGGAGCTATTCGAACTGCAAAGGGAGGGGGCAAAAATCGATTTCTACTTGCAGCATCGTGAAAGAAGACACACGACTTGCCACGGCGACGCCAAAGATGACGAAGGTATTGCCCTCCGCCTCCCGCCCCGGTGATAAATGTAGCAACCACACATCTCTACCCCGCCCGATTCAAGGCAGTTCCGAAATAAACAGAAAGCATGAAACACCCCCGGAAAATCAGGAGATGAACTCCCCAGTCTACTCCAAGACCCTTTGCCTAGATTAGCCTCAACCTTGACCCTGTTTGGACTGCACCTTGGGCATTCGGTCCGACTTACCTTCGAGTACAGGAGGTACCACAATCCGCCGGTGGCGGCACCAACGGCGGCCCCTACGGCTACCTGCTTCAGCGTGTGGCACTGCAGACACATCCTGCTGAGCCAGACACGGTAAAAAACGTAGCTGTGAGAGGTTTCGGGTTGGTCAGCAAATGTCACCGCCGACACATTCTGCCGGCGCACGCCATGGCATGGGGATAACGTAGCTGTGATGCGCTTGGGGTTGGCATTTGGGGGTCAGGGCGTGTGATATTGCAGGCGCATTTCGCCAGGCCATGTACGACGACAACCGCGGTCGTAAAATTCAGTAGGAAAGGGCGGTGATTGGTTTTGCACTCCTGGGGGTAACGGATGCTGCGACTCAACGCCGCCGCTCCCAGTTTTATGTTGTCGTTGCTGTTGTTGTTGGGCGTGTCTTCGGATAAAAATAAGGTTCTGACGGATGTTCAGCTCCGCCATCTATCCACGGCCTATATCAAGTGCCCCCTCTTGGCAGTTTTTCAGATGATACTTTCCACGGGCGAAGTAATAGTCAAAGTTTTCATCATCACATGCGATCATGGATGACAACAGTTCGTGACTAAACAACAAACAGATTCGGGGGGTGTCGGGGCGATATTTCTCTCCAAGCACCCGAAACCGATTGCGGAAAAAAAAAACCAAGAAATACGCATCCAAATGGTGCTTACAACCGCTCGGACTGCCTACGCAAAGAATGTAAAGTTGATACGAAAAATACGAGGCAACGAGCACGCAGACCCTAACCCTGATACCAATCATACTTGGCCGATTCTAAATTTTATCCTGTATGTTTGCTTACTTTGAATTGCTCCTAGCTGCATGCAGCAACAGAGAAAAACATTTACATGCCCGACATTCGACACTCTAATCAATGTCGGATGCTCTACAAAAGGAAGACCTTCACACGCCGACCTTTCAACACACAGAGAAAGACGTTCACCCAATCCCGACATTTGATGCGCTCAGTTTTCATACCCGACGGGGCTGACACAACACCGAGCTCACCCACCGAGACGACCCCATGGTTGTATGCAAGACTCCCTAACCAATACCCATCGCGCTAAGCAAAAAAACAAATTAACACACCCGACGACGCGCTTCAGTTGACACCCGATGAGCTTGGCACACCACAAAAGCTTACCTCGAGTACGCCACCGACGCCGCCCAACCGACCAGGACGGACGTCAAACCGACCTTCGCCTCCACCGAAAAGGAAACCCTACCGGGGGGGGGGGCACCGGAAACGATCCACGGTGCCCCAGGACCGGAGTCAGCCTTGTGATGTTCGGTTGATATATCTTAAGATGTTCATCCCCCCCTTGCGCGGCGTGAAACGTGCATCTTTATATGTTGTGCTCGGAATTTCTCTATCTTCCGGTCTAGTCCATGCCCATACTCTTCCCGCCGCGGGCTCTCACTCTTCACTAGTTCATGTTCTGACTCTTCCCGCCGCGGGCTCTCACTCTTCCCTAGTTCATGTTCTGAATCTTCCCGCCGCGGGCTCGAAAGTACACGCAGCGAGCAAGGTCAGCGGGCAGGGGTACTTCAGATCAATGGTGGCCGCTGGAGTACCGTATATGACACAAGATAACACACCCCCTGGACCAATTTTCAACGCTCGATTACACCACGACGAAGTGGATGCATAAGCGAAACGATACATTTTTGGAAAGCTCTCGACCAGACGGTTCCAACGCCGCCGTTTTGGGCGCCGTGAATCTTTCTGTTGTTGAGAAATCGAGAGTTGAAAAACCGGTCCAGGGGGTGCGTTATCTTGTGTCATTTACGGTATGTGGAGGGCGGGTCTGTGGGTCGAAGACGCATCATTTTTTTCTGCTTCGGAAATGTCATGTGGTCAGTGAAATAGCCAATGCGAGCGAAAGGACCAAGCTCATGAACGATGCCCTTTGAGTATTGAATTCTCTGGGGGGAACAACACACCAGGCCACGATGCCGCCCTAGTATTCTTCGTACATGGGTATGCACCTCAGAACATCTTATTACAAATACGCCCTCCCCCCCCCGACCGTGCAGGGAGATGTTTGAGGCATGGAATAGAGAGGAAAGAAAGGTAGATGTACTGGGATATAGGAGGTGGGTTGAAAAGGCGGGAAGAGATATCGTTAGGATAGACAGACTAGGGAAGACANATAGTCGTGCATGCCGTAGTCGTTAGACCATTGACCTCGCATCCCTACAAAGCCGGGACGGAGCACGCCGGGTTCTCACCGGACCAGGCTCTCACATCACCAAGCGCGAAGCGCCGTGAGGTATTCGACGAGTCGCATGAAGGGTTCGCTGCATCCTGCTAAGGATGTTCGGTACCTTGTGCGTACTTCCTTGCGTACGGATGACAGCTGCGTATGACTTCATTTGTTTTCTGGTGCTTTCACGTCCAGAGACAGTTGTAAGCCCTGTGTAACTACCTCGAGGGTGCTTGACCATTTTAACACAACGTGGTGCGATCATGCCCCTTGCGCGGAGTGAACCCCGCACAACATGATCTACTCGACCACCGCTATGGTTCCCGCCAAAAAAAAAAACAGAGTAAAGAAA